TTAAGATGAGTGGACTCAAGAAGAGTGGATGAGTGAACTTTAAGATGAGTGGACTTCAACTCCCAGAATTCCCCAGCCAGCATGAGTCCACTCATCTTGAGTTCACTCATCCACTCTTCTTGAGTCCACTCATCTTAAAGTGGCCAAGTTTGGACAACACTGTCTTAAAATCATTCAGGAGCAAAGAAGAAGAAATAGAACAAGCTATTCCAATTGCAATTTCTCATACATTTATTGAAAACCTGTTTTTTCTGGTTTTTATGAGTGAAATGAAAGCCTGAATGTCCAGGTCTTACCAACAGTTGGGTCTCCATCCGATACCAATATTATCATGGAGACAGAACTTGGATCCAACATTCCCAAAGCGTTGGCTTCATTTAGGATAAAGATGGCTCGGAGAAGGGCATCATTGATATTTGTTCCTGTTAAAAATTAAAAAGGCAACAAGAATATATAGATGCAGCAAGAAGAAAGGTGTCCCAGTCCCCTTTATGGAGAAGTTCCTTCTCTCCATACTTAGCAGGAGAGCTAAGCATAAGTTTAACGTTTGGTGAAGGATGTAGAGAGTAAGGGAAATGGCATTGATAGAAATACACTATGCAAGAATGTTACCCAGGCAAAGAGGGCTGAAACATTATTTAAGTCTTGGGAAGCAATATAATATTTGGAAATCAATCAAGCAAACACCTCCCTGATTCACTGGAGTATAAGAAGGAGGGGAGATACAGCACAATCAGACTTGCAAGGTCCTGTTTTTATAACCTATCTCAATAAAGTATAGTTCTAGTCTTCCTGTGGAATTGATTTTCTGTTCTGGTTTACCTAGTGAGGCTGACACAAGATCATGCTATTGGCTGGGATCACCACAACAGGCAACCATCTTGGGGTGTGGTGGCACCCATAATGGGTGCTGAGGGCACCAAATGATGAAAATGTCACTGTGTAGTTGTGATGTGCATCCTGCCCCTTTTTGATGTGCCTTGTGATATCACATGAATGCCCTAAAGTGGCATAGTGCATGGAGTGACAGAATGATGCTGATTTTATTATTTTGACAAAAGCAGGAAGATTTGCCAGTACCCTGTGAACCGTCCATGAACCCCTTCTTCAGACTGAACACACAAGATGTTCAGGGCCCAATCATTTTCAAGGGGGTTAAAGGTTTCAGGGTCAAAATGAGAATTTTAAGCCTCTGCAAAGTTTATAAACCACAGCAGACAGATTCATGCATGAAGCCACAGGGAGAAGGGGAAGGGGAAGGAGAAGGAGAAGGAGAAGGAGAAGGAGAAGGAGAAGGAGAAGGAGGAGACGACAGGAGGAAGAGACGTTATGGCTTAGTAGGATAGACGACCTTAGCTGTCCTGAGGCAATAGAGATTTATTGGCTCAATTCTGAACAAATAACAGGAATGTTTTTATTGGGGCGAATAATCTCTCACTACTTTCAATCTTCTCACCACCACATTCTCCAAGATTCTTTGAGGAAAGCCAAGAGAACTTAATATAAAAGTGACTTAAATCTTTTTAGTGCAGAGAAGCCTTGCGTACCCAAGGTTGTGTAAACTTTCCAAGCACAAGACCTCTTTTAACAAATCCTTTTGATTCCTTGGGTCTCTCGCTCACCTCCATTGGGGTGGATTCCCTCAATGTACTTCTTGGCTGCATCTGTCTGGATTTTGGAGGCTTGCACCAAGCTCTCTCTCCAGCACCGGACATTATGGTTGAAGTCGAGGATTGAAAATTTGTCATCAGATCGGAGATCACCCAGTATGGTCTTCATCGCTTCAACCGTCTGAAAAATCAGATAAAATCAGATAAAATTTCATAAGCTTTTGTGCATCACAGTCTGCTTCATTGGAAACAGGATGACTACTTTTATGATCACTGTTGCAAGACAACTATATGCATAAAAATGGAAAGATTCTGAAATACCTACAATGGAGGAATGGTTGGTGAAGGTGATGGAACAGCAGAGATGGCAAAATTAATTTGTTTGACTAGAGAAAGTTCAACTACTACATTTATTAGTAACTGGAAACCCCTTATGGATTTTTTGCTGAAAAAAGAAAAAAATTAACTGATGATTTATGGATTTGATGATTAGAAAGGGTAGATTATGGAAAGAAGGAAATGTTGATGTAACCCTAGAGAGGGTAAAATATAAATGTAGTTATAACTGCTGTTAAGAAGATTGGAAGCCACCCATCTTTCTTTCTTTCTTTCTTTCTTTCTTTCTTTCTTTCTTTCTTTCTTTCTTTAGAAAGAAAGAAAGAAAGTCTTTCTTTCTTTCTTTTTCTTTTTCTTTCTTCCTTTCTTTCTTTCTTTCTTTAGAAAGAAAGAAAGAAAGTCTTTCTTTCTTTCTTTTTCTTTTTCTTTCTTCCTTTCTTTCTTTCTTTCTTTAGAAAGAAAGAAAGAAAGTCTTTCTTTCTTTCTTTTCCTTCCTTCCTTCCTTCCTTCCTTCCTTCCTTCCTTCCTTCCTTCCTTTCTCCTTCTTTTCTATTTCTTTTTATTTTTTTTCACTTTTCTATTACTTTTCTCCATTTCTCTTATCTTTAACTTAAAATTTGTATTGTTTTTACTCTGCGGAAAAACTTCTTTAATAAAAATTATATACAGTATATATATTTTAAAAAAAGAAACATGATGACTACTTCAAGATATATATTTATGCATCTGATGAAAGGAAGGGCTGTTCCCTGAAAACTTCAGTAACAAGACATTTCTAGCTCGTTGTTAAGAGCCCACAAAGCTCTTGGATGTTTGCTCTTTTCTTGTTTCATTTACCTGAACTGTTTTTGATGCTACCTTAAGTTTCTGCTAAATATATTCATTCCTCTTTTCTCTTCTGTTCAATTAAGTTGCCTGCTGCTAATTTCCTTGACCTTTTTTCAGGAAGCATGGGAGGAAAAGACACCTTCTTGCATCTTGGCATTGTTCATGTTACTTAAATTGTGTACTTTAAATGTCATTAGCTGCCTAGAGTCCAAAAGATTCTAAAAGCTACAAATTGTTAAACGGGAGTTTTCCCTAACTTTGATTATTGTGAGCCCAATACTTTGGGAAATGCAGAATCTGGATCTTTTGACAGCACAACTGAATTAAATATACTAAAATGTGAGGCTATCTGAGGAGTGTTTGCGGAATGCTTAGATTGCAGCATCCCCCACATTGAGGGTTCACAAAACATATTTAATCAATCCTTCCTCTGCATCCCTACTGTAAGCTGGAGGATGTCCTTAGGGTGTGGCCTAAACCTGAGCCACACCTCCAATGACATTGTCCGGCCCTGGGCGAGAGCTGCCCTATAAGACCTGGGAATCCCCTGCCTTTTCCCCTACCCAGGACTTTCTTCCTGTGTTCACACAACCACATTTAATCAGGACAGATAAAGACTTAATATCTGTTAAATCCATGATGACATCAAAATTATGACCCATGTACAATATGATTACATACTTGTCTCAAGGTGCTGGTTGTTTCATCTGTGTGATGGCATCACATGCACCATCATTTGCCCCCTTACCCTGCTCCAGAGATGCCCAAGCTAGTGGCTCCATTCACACAACATGCTAAACCTGAGTTAGGTTCTTCATAGCTGTGTGAACCCAGCCCATTTGGGCAGCGCATGACTCAATGTATCATGCAGACCCAGAAAATAAGTAATTTCTGCATATTTTGTGAAAGCAGGCACATTTTCTCTCGATCCATCATCCCTCTTGAGACAGAAAGAGAATTGGACCATGGCAGTAATATTTTGGGATCATCCAGCCTTTACATGCAGGAAGTTCAACTCTTCATGGGACCTTGCATTTACCTGCTTCATTTTTAATCCCCACATCGAGCCACTGACATCGATGACAAAGAGGATGTTTTTTGGCAGAGGTTCCAAGTTATCAGGAGCGAAGTAGTGGACAAAATAGCCATTGAAGATCTGGAAAAGAAAGTGAGAAGGGCAGAATTTATTTCTGATGGATTTCTAAGGGAACCCTAAAAACTTGGGGCTTCCTGCAGAGAGGAATGTCAGTCATTTGCTTTCCTTTCAGTTGCGTCCTAGCACTGATTTGTTCCCAAGGCGTTCTGTGTATATAAAAATTAGAAATGCTCTGCCCACCATCTTGCCAATTTTGACCCCACCAACCCATCCAAAGATGTGGCTTCTTGTCCTTTTGACCAGGGGCAAGAGAAGGAACAGTGATCTTGGGGAGAAAACCAGTCACAAGATCAGCTATTGACAGATATGCCCTGAGTTCTGGGTTAACAAAACACCATGGTTCTGTTCATATAACACACTTAACTTAGTTATTGTATTAACCCATTTTCTGGGTTCACACAACAACACCATAAGCAACTAGCAGGCTGGGTTCTCATGATGCATTGAACCTCAAAATAATTGGCCAAGATAAAAAGTAATTGAACTTGGCATGCTTTTCAAATACAGTCACAAAATTTGTTTATAAACAGGTTAACTGTGTGGTTTGAATATAGTGTATTTCAATGCACACCTACCATGTTATGCCTACACAAACCCAGTTTTAGCCTAGGGTACTGGCCTTGTTGAAGCTTGGAAGCTAAGCAGGAACAGTCTTGATTAGCACTTGAATGGGACACCACAAAGAAATACCAGAGCTGTAGGCTAGATTGGGAAGTATATCACTGATGGAGACAATGACAATTGGTTGCTGCCACCACCCCAAAAAAACCCTGGCTATAACTATATAGAGACCAGAGATCAAGCTCAACGAAGACCATCTTTTTATTTACAGTACAGTAGAAACCAGGACCTAGATGTCCATGGTTGATCTTGGAAAGCTAAGCAGGTTGAGGTCTGGTTAGCATTTGGATGGGGGATCACCATTATATGCCAAAGCTGTAGGCTAGACTAGGAAGGTGAAAAAACATCCCAGGAACAGAAAACTGTATTTTGTATTGTTGCCAAGAAAATTACATGGATATTCCATGAAGTTACCCAGAGTTAAACTTGAGTTGAAGGACTCTTTTTATTCTTTACATGTTGTACAAACACCCTATTAAATGGCACTGGCTGTGTTCACACAGCATATCGAATCAAGGTAGTTCATTACCCAACTGAATGTCCATATTTTGGCTAAGATATCTCACTGGTAACCTTGGTTAGTGTGTGTGTATGTGTGTGTGTGTGTGTGTGTGTGTGGTTTTACAGGTTGCATGAACCAAGAAGATGGCTTAATTTGGGAACCATGTGATGATTGTTTCTGGGAACTATGCTCAACAAAATCTTTGAATCAAGGATTTCAGAGCTGGAAAGAACCCTATCATGTTACCTTGATGGAACACTTAGAACCATAGGATTACTGTCCCATGAAAAATGCCTAAAACTCAAGATTGTAATACTTTCCAATCAAGAAAAACAATAGAATTCACACCAGGGTAGGCACTGATGGTTGCATCATTGCTAACCATTGATCATATCTGCTGGACTCCAGTAACATCTTAAGATTTCACACTCCTGGTCTAGATCAAACCCTCAGGCTGGGTTTAGACAATGTGTTAATATATGCTAACACAGAATTGGATAAGTTGTGGTTCAGTGTAACGTGGGAACCAGTCCATCATGTTATGCTGGAATATAGAATATTTTGATAACCAGCTTTAAGGTTTGGCATGTTCTCAGAACGTGGACACTACATGAGAGACTCCACATCAACAAGCATACATTTTTTTACACCCATGTTACTCATAATGAAAACTAATTTTGGCTCTGACTATGCAGGGGAGATAAACAGAAAGGAAGGTCTCATCAGGGAAAGCCAAGTGCTGTAGAAGCCAAAACAAAAATCCACAACTACACTATTAAACTTAGTTGGGCTGGGGTCATCTATCCTGCCTTGATCAGACCACACCCAAAATATTGTATGGACCCCGCATTTTAAGATGGACCTTGACAGACTAGAGGAGAGCAATCCAGATGAAAAAAGATCCAAAAGGACAAATTAGAACAGTTGGAAATGTTGGGGATGCTTAGCAAAGAGAAGAGAAGAATGGGTGGAGACATAAGAGTTGACATCATGTTTGTGAAGGACTATCTTGTAGAAGTTTGGGCAGAATTGTTCAGTGTTGTTCAGGACAAGAAACAAGGGATTTAACTCACGAGAAAGCAGAGTTAATTGGACATTGCAAAGAATATCCTAATGGTAAGAGTTATTGAGAGAACTCGTTTGGTGTTGTGGTTAAGGCTCTAGGTGTCAATCCTACCAGGTAGACCAGACTAGGATACCAATGCCATGTAGGTCAGGACTACTTTTATTGTAACAACTAAGTAACAGAATCTTGCAAGTCTGAATATGCTTCCTCCCTCCCTCCCTCCATCTTCATGTGAACTAGGGAGGAGCTTGTCTGAGTTGTTTTCTGAAATTAGTTTCTTGGCCCAGGTTCAAGCCCCACTTATCTGACTTTGCCTTGGTATCAGCTCTTCCTCCTGTCCTTCAAGGCCATTCCATATATGCTATACACTAGGCTAGAAACCAGGAGACCATAAGTTCTAGTACCATCTTAGACACAAAGCCAACTGGATAACTTTGAGTTAGTCCCTCTCTCTCAACCCCGGAAAGAAGAAAGCAAGGGCAAACTGTTGATGTTTGTAGAAATACACATCAGAATTTACAATACAGAACATTAATCAGCAGAAATAATGCTGTGTCATTATACCTGAAAGGAAGCTGATATAAGAATGGAAGGAAGATGATGGAAGAAGATGATGAAATACTAGGATGATGCAATGTACGGTTCCTA